AACAGCAACCTTTGCATCTTTGAGTGTATTTACAGCCCTTTACCATGGTCCTCACTGTGGCTTCCAAGCAGGCTAAGTAAATTCTCCCGTGTTGAGCCTTATTTTAACATGCAAAGTCTGCACACCACCAGAAGACCAATAAAAGTGTAAAAAGTGATTCCTTATTCCATCACTGCCTCTGACCTCTGATGTATTTTTGTGCTCATTTTGCTGCTTTAAGCAAACTGATTTCACAGACAAATGATGACCACTGTGACCAAAAGGAATTACCTACAGGTGACACTATGATAAAAGTTCATGTTAAGGTCACTCGTCAGTTGGACAAAATTCTTACAGGTAGTTTGGCGTATTTTGAAAATCTAAAACAAAAAGTAACTTTGACTAAAAAAAAAAAAACACTTGCTAGAAAACTATCAAAACGATGAAGACAATTATCTAATTCTCTTCAAGTCCAGCGTGCAGCAGTCTGAGCATAGACCTTGGCTTTACTTTATGAATCTACACAGATCTAAACAACACACACATCTACCTGCACACACAAGCATCTGAGCTTTATATCGTCTGTGAGCAATGTGCGTTTCAACAGGATGTGGCTTTGCTTCTTTATGCAAATGCAGGGGCAAGCAGGAGAATGGAGGATGTTAATATGTCTCCTAATGAACATGAGATTAAGAAAGTGTTTGCTTACTGCATGCTGTGTATGTGAAACAGATCTAACCTTGCCACCGAGTGTGTGTACACATCTGTGCTGCTTACTATTTCTGAGATACAGTCACTTTCCCTGTCAAACGTCCTCCTTCCTCTGTGGTTAGCATGTTGGTTAAGAAACTCTGCATGAAGTTGGTGATTTGATTCTCAGCATTTAAATCATTACTGCAAAATGGAGACAATGAAGTGAGTCCTTGAATAAGCTTTGTACCTGTCTGTAGGGATGTCTGGTCCAGGGGAAGTCAAAGTGGAGGCAGAGCGAGGAGGGAGGGGTGGTTTCTCGTCTTCCCCATCTACCAACCACAGAAAAAGGAGATTTACAATCCGACACAACCCCTTAATTGAACACTGCAGCTAATTGGACTGATATGAAACCACTAGAGATGTAACGATACCAAAAACCGGTTCTAGGAAAACACCACAATAAAAAGTCCACAATATAACACATATATGGATCCTATAGCCTTAGTCAGGTTTAACTTTGACGTGGTCTACTTTTCTTTTTCTAAGTGAAAATACCTAAGGGTGGTCACTTACTAAGTTGTTGGTTTTGTGTATGTGCGTGTGTTAAAGTGTAGTGCACAGCTGAGCCCTGACTGTTTCTGTAAGATGTATCCAGAATCATTTCAGTCCCAAACAGGGCTAGTATGCTGCATCAGCAGTATTTGCAAGTTGTTATGTGTTTAGCCAGTTTCTTTTCCACCCATATCATTTCTTGAAACAGGAAAACTGAAATGCTACCACATATCAGCTGTAGAAGTCGACGATGGAGCAACCACTAGGTCAGTTTCAAGTTCTGCAACCTGAACGCACCTATACTAGCAAAATAACCACAGGTAATCCCCTGGTAGATACATCACAGTCCCACGACGGTATAACAATATTGTGAACTTGCAAATATCATTACTTCCCTAGAAACCGAAACACAGCATGGTGATGGACAAACAAACAGAGGTGGACAAATAGCAGAAACAACTCCAGCAACTCTCTAAGCAATAAACATGTTTCAAATTGTGTTTCAACTGTCATTTCCATTCGGCCACGTGGCAGTTCATGAGTTACACATCCCTGGGGGACTGGCAGAAACAGCAGTGACTCAAAATATTCTAATTATAACCCAAACGACTCAAACATGAAGATACAAACAGAAGCACTCTGTGTTTTGTATGTCTATCCCCACAGTACCCATAAATGAGGATTCAAATAAGGACACAGAGCAGTTTGACTGATCTGAGTACAGTATAAAGAAGAATGCAAGTCTTAATTGTGCATTTGAGCAACTGTTTAAAGATTTTCAAACAAACAAAGACCGAACAGAACAATACAATACAAAGGCAATTACAAACCCTAAGCCTACAAACAGAACAACTCTCTTGTCTTTAACCATACTCCCTTGTTTCCTCTCTCTTGTATTTTTTCCTTACATATTTCTTGCATCTTTAGTGGGAAGAACTACGATGCAAGTGAAGGAAAAGTGGATGCAATTAAGGGAACTGAGATGTACCACCGTGTGCTTGTGTAGGATCTATATACCTGAATAGTCTCTGTCATCACTGACAGCTGTTTCCTCCCTTTCCACAGGGTAAAGCAGGGTGGTGACCAGACCCTGGTTGGGCTGAAGGTACAGTGACACCAACTCTGGTAGTGTTTTAAACCGCTTAGGCTGCACACCCTGGGACGTCTGAGAGAGACAGGGAGAGATGCACCGAGAGACAGAGGAAGAGAAGGAAAGTTATTTTCTACATGGTATGAGCATAACAATCTAAACCCCCTAGCTATGTTATTGAAATCTCTGGGGGCCCCTATTGTTCTCCATTTAATGCTGTGTAAGCAAATATGGCCCAGTAGTCTAAATACAGGCTAATTCAAACCAGGAAGAACTGTTTTGGAAAACATTGATTGTAAACAAGTTTGGTTCCAGGAAGCAAAATAAGACTTTTAGACTCTCTCCAATGTGACATTTATGACCCCAGGAACCATACAGCAGCGAGCCAGATGTCTGCGATGCAGCCACACGGACAGTCTGAAGCACCACGTTGCCGTGTGTATGACTGAGTGTGAGTGTCGGAGACAGAGTGCTATAAGTGTGGCTGGGGGCGGTGGGGACTTCACAGCTGTTGGGCACAAGGCACAAAGAGGCTGCTGTGGGAGTGTGTGTGTGTGTGAGTGAGAGAGCTCAACGTCAACAAATGCATCTCTGCCTGCCAGTTGCTACTGAAGCAAATAGTTTACGCTGCGCACATATACACACTTAACCTCAGGAGACTGTGTGCGTGTATGTGTGTCTCCTCTGTACCTGTACAGCCAGAAATCCTTCATCATCTGGGAGGATTCTGTACGTGTGGACATGTTTCTGCAACCTGCCGAGAAAGAGCAAGAGACAGAACGGGATGAAGAGTGAGCAGTGGGAACAACAGAGACAGAACAAAGAAACAGAGAAGATGCTCAGAAGGTTAGAGCAAACATAGTGAACAACAAAATAACATTTCAAATCTGACATTCCCACATACAGTCTTGTACTTGACCTCAGTGGATAGGGGGTGTATATGTACTGTATGTATGAGAGTGAGGGGGGTTTAGGCAACCTGCTGCTGTCCGTCACACTTGTGAGTGGACATTATCTTTACAGCAGCATGACGGTAAAGCAGAACAGACTTGAACCTGGTATTTATACAACTAAAATTTCTGAGCGAGTACAGATTAAAGGAAAATTACCCAGTCATCGTTTGACTCTCTTCCAGACTTTGTGATGTTTTTCTGTCAGTCAGCATCTGGGTTAAACTTCATAGTGTGAGTTGCATCGCTGATTGAACCACAAGCTTTATTTTTAACCGACTCCTGATCAATTTTCTGACTTTGTGTGTGATTGCAGTCACGGCCATGGCTACATGCCTGCAGCCACAAGCTGGCGTTGGATGATTTTTATGTCTGCACTTCATGTCTGCTCAGTGAACCAGACACAAAATGTTAAATTTGCCAAACAAACGTTGTGGTTTTCGTCTGTCGGTGTATGCGTGCGGCGTGGCTGTACATCTGTTTAAAAGTTAGGGTGCTGGCAGCCTATGCAAAACATTTCAGTAATCCTTCCACTTCTGCTAAAAGACCATGTTTATTTACAGTATGCGTGTATACTGTATAAACAGAGGGGGGATGCTGGGAATGATGATGTCCAGTGTTGGGATTTAATCCTGCCTTGTCCACTCAGCAGTTTTTCAGGTCTTTCCAGGTCACTAAGATAAGGACTGTAATAAAATGTATAGTAAATGTTTCAACAAAAGGATAATTTTTCAAAATTCCGAATATTAAATACTGGTACAGCTGCATAAAATTCATGTTAGAAATTGGACCGACACTTCATAAGAAGGTACACCAGTTTTAATTTAGACTAGAAGTGTCACACTTGGTTGAGTTTTTACACTGGTGATGTTACTCATGCTCTTCTCAGACTGGCACAGTTCTCTTTCAATCAATTCACTTGGTACAGCACATATTGTACAGGATATCACATATGAAACATGTATCTCGTTCCTGTCTTTCAGGGAGCAGAAGTTATAGTCATAACATGTCGTTACATAAACCTGAACAATATCCATTATCAGTAGGCTTTTTTTTATTTTTATTCTTGCTGACATTAGAAAATCTAATCGGCATTTTGTCTTGATTCAACAGAGTTTTACGTGTGACAAAATAGTGCCCGTGCTCAACAGGCAACTGAAAGCTGTTTCCAGTACATTAGGGAATGAATTATGATGCTTTCTCAGGAAGGGACATTATGTTGCTGTAGTGTTTCTGCTGCCAAATCAACTAGATGTGCCTTTTGGTGTGTTTCTTTATTTGACATTGCTGCCTTTATCTGACAACAGGCAGAATGTCAGCGTTAAATATACCACCAGAACACACAACACAGAAGTTACCATAATGAACTGATGTACAGTATTTTATATATATACAGCATAATCATTGTTGCCAATGATACTTCCTTATTTCAGGTGTCTTGCAGCTGGTCATACCAACAGTATAAAGTAGAT